ATAGGAATTGTGGTGGAGTGTGGAAGCATGCTCATTTCTGACGTGGAGCTAATCTGAAGTAAACATTGAATACTGCTTTCTGTTCCTCCATCTTGTGACTGTGTGACTCCCTCTCTTGGATATCAGCATGTGAAGGACACTGTTCAGGAACTAGTTGATGCTCTGTATGTGATGACTACTTCCATTCTGGAGAGGATCACAGATACATGGATCCTGAGATTCAAGCTCAAGCCGGTGACGAGAGATATTTTTCTAACTATCAGGGTTACTGACAGCCGTGCTGGCCAATCACTGGCTGGATGACAGCGCGGCAGGAGATGGCCCCGCCCACCTGCTCTCGCTGCTTGGCGGCCGCTTCGACCTGGTCCTCCAGTCGTGTCGCTCAGGTCACATGGTCCCCGAGCCCGCCATGTTCAGGTGCGCTCTGAAGCACCTGGGAGTGACGTCACAACAGGTGAACAGCGCATAGCTAAAGTCATGAAATTATACTAAATATTGAGTTCAGCAGGATTTCTGTTTTTGCTCTCTGTAGCACTTAGCTCGTTTTGCATCTCTTTGATGTTGTTTTGTCTTTTCTTCACTTCTTCACAGACGTTGTTTATCCTCTCTGTGTCTATTTGTGACATCCCAAGAATAAAATATTAGCAGTAGCTTCAAAAAGAGGCTCTGTGTGCAGTAGAGCTGTTCAGTAATCCATCAACCCTAACCCTATCAGGGGTGTCCGTGTCAAACTCAAGGCCCGGGGGCCAAATCCGGCCCGCGACTTCATTTCATGTGGCCCCATAAGAGCTTGCTAAGAATATAATATGTTTATTATAAGGTTACATGCTACTTTACAGAAGCACGTTGCCCAGAAACTACATGTCCCACAATTCATCTCAAATGTGACTTTTTTCTTAGAATTTGTCTTTTTCTCAGAATTAGATTTTTTTTTCCTTCAAAATTTCATTTTAGTTTTTTGTTCTTCCAGAATTTGGCTTTTCTTTTTAAATCATTTTGTGACATTCTCACTGAAGAGAGTTGCAATTATTTGCCCTAGACTTCTGCTTTCAGACGTAGTTAATTATGAAGTTATTACCCTATCCGATAATAATCCAATGCAGAGGCAATCATGTAATATAAAACATTATTTTATATATATTAAATATTTGTATGTGTATTTTTATATAGTCTTAAAGTTACAACCGGCCCTTTTGAGTGCAACCATAATGCTGATGTGGCCCGTGATTAAATTGAGTTTGACACCCCTGCCCTAGATCATCTTTCTATATTTACTGTTAACTTGGAAGAGGAGCTTTGCTAATGCAACAACATGCCTAATATTTCCAGCTTGTAAAATCATGGAAACAGGAAGCGAAGTCTTCTCTCTTAACGTTGTGAGCCTTAACATACAGCGTTTCGTTCTCAGTGTACAAAAGCAACTTTCCACAGACAACACATCAGACTGCAGCCAAGCCTTATGCACCAGATAAACACCTTCTAAAAGGTAGTGTTAGTGACGTGTGCAGACGGTCAGGACAGTTTGATCAGCCCGTCTCCTCTCAGGCCGTGTGGCTGGATGCAGATGAGGAAGGTGTGAAGGCAGCAGAGGGAGTGGGGATGAAGGCCATCTTGGTGGAAAACCTGGACGACGCTCTGAAGAAACTGGCCCACTTCACAGGAGTTCAGGTGTGGACAGTTCTTACCTTTCTGCTTTATAGGAAGGACACAACACAACTGGGCATGGATAGATAAAGACACACCAGGGTGGATTACGGAGAGACAGGGTAAAGCATGTCCATTTTTAGATTTATTTAGCATCTCTGTCTATTTGTAGAAAGATTACTTAAAGTTAGCATCACATAACGCCTCATTTGAAAATGTAAACATAAGATAAATATGAAATGTAAGCCCGCATGCAGACAAGGAGTTATGTCTGTTAGAGATGACTTGTGTGTTAGTGAAAGTGAATGTGTGTTTCAGGCTGATGGAGCAGAGAGTCCTCCGCCCTCCTGCAGCCCTGAGGAAGTGTCTCATGGATTCGTTACCATCAGGGTAATCATCTCTTCAAGAAGAGAGTAAACCACAGTGTAAATGTTGTTTCCTGTATGTTTAACGGTAATGTTTCTCTTAACGGTAATGTTTCTCACGTGTCAGCCCGGTGTGAGGACCCATTTTGTTGAAATGGGCTCAGGTCCGCCCGTCCTGCTGTGCCACGGCTTCCCTGAGAGCTGGTTCTCCTGGAGGTTCCAGGTAACATGAAACCTTTCATAAAGCACAAGTGTTAGACAAATATCTCTCGTCCCCGGCTTGAGCTTGAATCTCAGGATCCATGTATCTGTGATCCTCTCCAGAATGGAAGTAGTCAAAACAAAAAAAGATAATGTGTTGGTATTTTTTCTTAAAATCTCAAAATGCTGACTTTTTCTAAAAATCTTAATATTCTGGCTTTCTTAAAATTCTGACTTTTTCTCAACAGTCTGACTTTTTCTCAAAATCTCAAAATGTTTGTCTAACACTTGTTGACACTTTATGAAAGGTTCCAGGTAAAGTGAAACCTTTCATAAAGCACAAGTGTTAGACAAACACCGTCCCCAGCTTGAGCTTGAACCTCAGGATCCATGTATCTGTGATCCTCTCCAGAATGGAAGTAGTCATCACATACAGAGCATCAACTAGTTCCTGAACAGTGTCCTTCACATGCTGATATCCAAGAGAGGGAGTTCCACAGTCACAAGATGGAGGAATAGAAAGCAGTATTCAATGTTTACTTCAGATTAGCTCCACGTCAGAAATGATCATGCTTGTCATATGTCTCTCTCCATAGAGGCTGAATCATCATGTTAATCACCAGTAGCGCCTCATCATATGCCTCAACACCAGTCTTCCTGAATGCTCTTCTCAGGTCATCACACATCCTGTCATGTCACAGCTCAGTGATACCTTTGATTATCAGGTACTCTCCATGTTGATAGCGAGGGACACTCAAGAATGTTCCCACAACAAACATGCATAATAACAACAACAAACAACCATGTTCATATACTCCCCCATAACAGTGATTCGTAGCCTCCTCTGCTGCAGATACCTGCCATGGCGGGCCCGCTGGGCTTCAAGGTTCGGGCTCTGGACCAATGAAGCCGGTTTCGGGTTGAGTCCACGCGCGCCTCCAGATGACCCCACCTTGCACATGGGGCAGCAGCCTATACGTTGGCCCTGAAGCCAAAAAAACAACAACGGATGATCAAAATGGCAAATTAATCCAAAAAAAAAAACCATTTTTACACCAACCCCACAAAACACAGAACAGCATATCAAAAACAACTAAAATCATCACAAAAACAAGTTGAAATGTAGTGTTTTGACCCACTCCGGGCCAGCCGAGAGTAGACTATAGTCAAATGATTACACATTAGTAGCAAGACTACTTATTTCACAGTGTTTTAACCACTTACAGACATGGGGAGTGTCCCAGGAGGAGCTTTGCAAGGTCGGACCATACCACACACACACACCACACACACCACACAGCACCAACACACACAACACACCACCACACACACAGCCACACCCACACAAAAACACACACACACAAACACACAGCACACACACACACACACCACACACAGAACACACACACACACACACACACCCCACACACAAGCTCTCATGTTATTGTGTTAGGGCTGAACTCCGAATGAGACCATTGTTTGAAAATGTTCAGATAGTGCCCAAACCCATTAATGTGGAAAAATAAGGAGATGCATCGTTGCGATATTATAATAATATTTAGGTTCAGAAAACTACTCCTTCAGTAATAGATATGAAACGATGTAGCGAGAACGATACTTAAACCCCACACAACGTGCTTTTTCTCCCAGGATTTACATCACATTTATCGGACAAACATGGGGAGTGAAGGTACACACTGAGTTTACGGCCACTTTAAAAATATAAAGAAATAAATTGATTGCAGCTTAAAAATAATCTTTCTAATTTGTGTGTTTCACAGCGATGCCACAGCGTCACGCTGGTGGACACAGACTGGGCGGCCGGCTCTGTCCGATGTGCGCGCCCGGAACAGTGCCATATTACCGCCGAGAGAGTGAGGTTATGCACCACGTACGCACCCACCCGCCACACGCACACCACAAACAACGCACACACGCACACACGCACACCTGTAAAATTGTGTGTGTTGGCAGGGCAGTGCCCTCTCTGGAACACGCCTCTGTTTCGCATCGCTTCCTCGCCTTCACTGTGCAATCCTGTGACGAAACTGAAGAATCATTCCTAATCTCCGACCCAACCAGCTTCTACTTCCAAAACAGCCCCAGTAGCCACTGGGTGTGGGAAACCAGTTTGCCACCTGAAACCAGTTCTGGGCCACTTCTGCTAGGCCAAGCGCTTTCGCACCTTTTAGTGGGTGTGTGGGTGGGTGGGGTTGGCTGTTCCCAGGGTGTTAGCAGAGGCAAGCAGCGCTGGAGAACGCGATTTGAGGAGCAGTTAAGTATTTTCCGTTCCCCTTCAAGTGGCAGAAGGCGGTAGGAAGTGGCACCCAAGACCCAGACCAACACCACCAGAGCCAGACCCAGATACGACTCAGAGACCCCATGAGAAGACCAGAC